CTCATCACACTCAGGTGTAGTCCCTTATTATCTCCTTACAGTGCTTCATTTTCATAGCATTTACTACACTGACATGCTGCTCAGCACAGAGTACTAACTAAATATTTTAGGAATGAATAAATACTGAATCACATATTTTTCCATTATTCTCCTTATTAAATTTTAATTTTTTAAAACTCTCCAATGCATCTTAATGAATTAAGGAATAAGCATGTAGATTGAAGGAATCTAGATATAAAGAAAAGGATGTATCTGAATCTATGTGATGCTAAATTGAAAAGATTTCAGGATATTAAAAACTGTATTGGGGTCAGTGCTGTGGCATAGCCGGTAAAGCCGCCGCCTGCAGTGCCAGCATCCTATATGGGCACCGGTTCAAGTCCTGGCTGCTCCACTTCTGATCTAGCTCTCTGTTATGGCCTGGAAAAGCAGTAAGAAGATGGCCCAAGTGCTTGGGCCTGCGAACCTGCGTGGGAAACCCAAAAGAAGCTCCTGGCTCCTGGCTTCAGATTGGCCCAGCTCTGGCCATTGTGGCAATCTGGGGAGTGAACCAGCGGATGGATGACTCCCTCTCTTTTTCTCTCTGAGTTTCAAGTAAATAAAATATTAAAAAAAACTATCATAAGCCTCTATAAATGGAAAATAATTCAACAGCAATATTAGAAGTACTCTATGTTACTTAAATACAAGGTAAAATAAATAGTCTTCAAGTCATCTTCAACTGAAAATGTGGTTAAAGCACCTAATTCAATACACAGTTGCCATCTCAGGCATTGTTCTTTGCATGTATCTGATCATGAATGCTGTTGCCATGAACTTGTCTCCCCTTGGCAAGTTTCAGCCACTGGGAGATTTACTATTCTCTCAAAAATCTGCCTCTAACATTAACCAAATTCTAGTTAAAATGTCATAAATATTTGATTAAAGCTGATAAAGTAATCTGTCCAATGTTTAAGTTAATGGTTCTCTGCCTAATTGACCTACATTTAATCATAAGCTATTTTTTTGCTTTAATTTCCAATCAGAAAGACTTTCTTCTTAAAACTTAAAAAAAAAAAAACAAAAAAAAAAAACAAAAAACAAACAGTTGAACCTAAAGAAATATTCAGCTTACCAAACAAACAACTTTGAAAGTCTCATTTAAATTTTAAACTAGCTGCCTTTCTTACCTATATTTAACAAACCATATATTTTGTTTCAAATTGCAGTTCCACCCACCCAATATAACTGTTGAATGATTTTCCTTTTACAGAGAACTACAGTTTTTTATATGATGTAGTCTTTTTCAATTTTTCATTTTATGAAATCAAAGAAACTTCCTTTACCTTAAACCCACAGTCATATTCTTTAAAATAAACAGTCAAGCCTCTAAAAAGCCTAATTTTATACTCTAGAAAAAGAGTGGTTAAGAACATGAGTTCAAATCCCAGCTCTATTGCTTATTAGTTGTGTTATCCTGGGCAGGCCATAAGCCATTTTGAGCTTCAGCTCCTCATTCATAATAGTATATATGGGGTTAATTAATGATAGTACCTACTTCACAGGAACATGAGTTAAATGAGTTAATGCATATAAAAATCTCTGTGAAGTATCTGGCTCCTAGCAACTGCTCAATGAATTTAATCTTTTAACAAACAACTACTAAACATCTATTCTGTGCCAGTACTTGTCTCGGTACAAGAAATCCAGTTGCACTAATTACTAAATACAGCTATGGACCTGTGCATTTATATTTCAGTTGGGAACACTAATCAGTTAAAATGTATCATATTGGCTGGCGCTGTGCCACAGCGGGTTAACGCCCTGGCCTGAAGTGCCGGCATCCCATATGGGTGCCAGTTCGAGACCTGGCTGCTCTACTTCCGATCCAGCTCTCTGCTATGGCCTGGGAAAACAGAAGAAGATGGCCCAAGCACTTGGGCCCCTGCACCCAGAGGAAGCTCCTGGCTCCCAGCTATGGATCAGTGCAGCTTTGGCCATTGCGGCCAATTGGGGAGTGAACCATCGGATGGAAGACCTCTCTCTCTCTCTTTCTCTCTTTCTCTCTCTGCCTCTCCTCTGTTTAACTCTTTCAAATAAATAAATAAATATTTTTTAAAGTACCATATTTATATAATATAATATCAGATAAATATAACCATGAAAAAGAGAAATGAAGGGCTAAGGAGAGAGCACTGAGTTGATGGGTTAATTTACATGTGGTAGTCAAAGCAGTTGTGATGGAAGTGATATTTGAGCAGAACTGAACTGAGAACAGGTCACACATGTTCCATTGTGTTTGATGACACAGGGACAATGAAATGGGGATTGACAACCCCTGTTTACAACAACACCTTCCATCTTCCATATAAGTTTCAGGAGGAAGTACAGGAAAAATCAGTCAGTAATGGTGAGGGGTAAGGGGCTTGTGCACCTACTCACCAGCTTTGTAAGCAAATGAAAGTTAAATTTCTCTAAAATTTATTGTCTAGTTTTCTAAACCTCTGAGTAGATATGAATTAGGATATGAAAGTAAAACAGAGATTACTCTGGCCACTGTGTCTCCAGTTACCCAGTATGATGATAAACTTACATTTTCATGGGTAAGAGCAGAAATGAATGGGAATAGAAGTAAATGGGAAACAGAAATTATATTGAGACTAAACTAGCATTCTTTATGTAGGCTAAAAATGAAATTTAGCAAGATGAAAATTAGATATTGTATAGCACATTATATGGTCAAACACATTAACTTCTTCTACAGATTAAATAAAAAATAGCTTGAGTTGCAAGAGAACAAATAACTATTCAAAGGGAGATAAATGACAGATAATATCACCATAACAAAATCCATATCAATTTGTTCTCCACTCATAATTGAAAATTATCTAACTTTTACAACCTCTACTTTGTGATTTTCTTTTAAAAGAGTAAGATGATTCTTTAAATCAAGTGTATAACAATATTTACAGCAAACGGAGATAATGATTTGTGTATTTCAAATACCAGTACTTTAAAGCAGGTTAATAGCTAAACCTCAAATTTCTACCTCATAAAACGATGATATATGAATATAGCCCTTTAATCTTCCATAGCTTCTATTATGTATTTATTTTCATAGCTAGTGTGATAAAGTGGTGAAATAATCAACTCCACAATGCTGAAGGTTGAAGGGAAAGATAGTAATTGACCACATAATAATCTACTGAATCTAATCCATTATCTAGGTTCATTTCATGGGAGACTTTATATAATAAGGACTACAGTTCTATTTGAAATTATGTATTCCTATTCAAGTCCAAATCTACATCATTATTTCTCTCCATTATGGCTTTAGGTTCTCAATTTAGAATTGGCAATAAACCTTTACACAATGCAAATATTTGGCTGACTTGTGAAATGGCACATCAGTGCCTCTGAAAATCTAGTTATCTTGTTAACCTAGCCTGGGTAAAAAGTATCTTCTTATACTATAACTTATACATACTGAGATAGACTGGAATTGAAATTCATACTTGCACATGTACAGTTAAGCATAGACAAAACTCTTGGGACTTAAAGTCCAGGAAGGAGAACAGTGTTGAAGTTAAGAGATATCAAAGATGAATCCTAGGTTTATGGTTTGAGAATCTGAGTATTTGATGTAAGACTTACTAAAAAGGGAAGGACAAATATTGGAGGTAAAGCAATGAACTCAGTTTGACAAAAATAGTAGAAAAATCTGAGTTTGGAGGAAGATAAACCTGAGATAGATATAAATGTAAATTTGCAAGTTATTGATATATGTAGTAAATGAAGGTACTGACATAGATTCCCTTGACCAAACAGAAAAGATTTTAGAACTCTGCAAAACAACAGCATTTATTCATAAATAGACAAAAAAATTGGAAGACTTTTTTTGGCTAGAGAAAACAAAATGTGACAACCTGTTTCAGAATAAAGGAAAATTTTAAGGGGTTTTATGTAATTAAGGTGGGAAAAAATGAATGGAAAAGTATTAAGAAAGAATAAACTGATTTTATAATTTTATGGAATTATGGAAGTAGGCCAATTCCTTTGCCACAGAATTAAATGTATAGCAACTGACTATCAAAATCTTCTGTGTGATAAATGTTAAACCCTATCCTGTCAGTGAAGACTTGGAAATTCAACGAAAGTACAAATACAATGATTTCTCCATTAACATGAAAAACTCTGCAATCATTATGTTAAATTTCCAATTAGCTGAATCTGTATTAACCATTACCCATTCTTGGAACTGGCACTTACTTCAAATTAAAAGTCATCCCAAGATGTATAAATATTAGTCTCCCAAGTTCCACAGCTTTCCCATTTCTTCATGGTTCTTCTTATTAGACAGCCCTCCAAAATAAGAGTTCTTACAGGCCCCAACCCAATTCCTCAGAAACTACAAGTGTTCAGAAGCAAAGCAAGCACCACTAATCCACTTTGGTCTAGGTTCAAAGGTTCTATCCAAAAACACAAACCTTCCTCATCCCCTACCTCACAAATCTCTTAATGCACAGGAAATGAATGTGTTCTGTGATAGACCTTAAATGTAAAAATACAAGAAATAACCACTCACCCAGCTACCTGGTTCCACATGGGAAGACATGACTTACTGTGTTTGAGAAGAATAGTATACTTTTTAAAAGTCCCAATATCTTATACCATATTGTAGACCTAATACTACATTGCAATTATAATTTACTCTTAATTGTTGGGCATTTTCTTTAACTTCTCCATATTAGAGTATCTTATAACAACCATTCGAAGTATGAATCTTATAGAAAGAAAAAAAGTCATTTCTATCCAACCAAATAATGAATAATAAAGCAACAACACACCTTAGTAAAATTAAGGAAATTTCATGTGCCAACTGTATTGATAGGAATCACAAAATTCTTTCTTTTGGGACTTCTAGTAAATAATCTAAGAACTATACTTACAGATGGAAATATTAACTCACTGAGCATTCTTTTAAAACAGAGAAACCAAAAAGTCTGCATATAGGCACCTACCTTAGGAATAGGATTCAGCAGAACTACACCTGATTTCTTAGTGATGACTTGTTTTGTTGTGTAGTGATGATCTATAAGTTGAGGGATGTTTACAAATCCATTGCCCTCGAATCTATACATATTCTGGAGAAAGAACAATAAAAACATTAAATCACAAAGACTACATTCATCAATAAAGTTCCATTTAAGAACAAATGCACTATATAACAATGTGTACAGACTTAAAACTACTGAACTATATATTCTTGATACAGGTAATATGACAAAAATAAATAAATAGATACCTAAAATGACAACATGTTTTAAGGATCTACCTTATGACAGTGAAATTTATTTTCATGATGATTAAACTTAATTTGAATTGTTAAGAAAGCAAAAAGAAAACTAATAGTCCTGAAATGCATTTTGCCAAAATGAGAACCAAGGGAAACAAAGCATGGAACAAGTTAAGGAAAAAGAAATAAGTTCACTTATGTCTACATATATAATCCATTTGATTAATGACAACTATATTGAGAAAGTATATCCCATACAGTAATTTTTATACTTGACATTTTTCATTTATCAAAAGCAATATTTATTTTCTACTTGCTGATACCAATAAATTTAGCAAGTAAAAATATGTTATCGGTAGTACTTTTCAATGTAAGGAACAATGCAACGCAGTGTAATAAAAGCTTTCATCTATTTGTTTGCACGAGCATACCTGTAAAGACATGGGAAATAGATACAAATACTCATATAGATGTGCTCCATTTTAAGAAAACTCTGTGGGGCTGTCATTGTGGTATAGCAACTTAAGCCTCCACCTGCAACATGGGCATCCCATATGGGCACCAGTTCAAGACTCAGCTGCTCCACTTCTGATCCAGCTTCCTGCTAACATGCCTGGGAAAGCAGTGGAAGATAGCTCAAGTCCTAGGGCCCCTGAACCCAGGTGGGAGACTCAGAAGAAGTTCCAGGCTCCTGGCTTCAATCTGACCCAGCCCCAGCCATTGCAGCCATTTGGAGAGTGAACCAATGGATGGAAGACCTCTGTCTCTCCTTCTCTTTGTATCTCTCTCTAATTCTGCCTTTCAAATAAATCTCAAAAAAAAAGTAAGAAAAGAAAGAAAGAGAGAGAAGAAGAAAAAGAAAAAGGAAAAAAAAAGAAAACGAAATAAATAAGAAAGCTGCTAAGAAATACTTCCAAAACTGCCTAGATTTAGATATTACTTGCATTACTGAAAGGTTACTTTCCAAGTTAAAGGTTAAAAACCTCACAGTTCCTTTTCCAAAGTTAAAATAAGATTCAATTTGCCAGAATTTAATTTCTAAAAAACTTTTAAAATAATTACCTGTTTAATTTGTTAGGGAACAAACATGAATCAGCCTACTTCAGCTCTTAACTATAGCGTATAGTTTAATTCGAGGCAGTTGGTGTTAGGATCAATTCAGGGCACTTGTTAATAAATTGTGCCTACAGAATATTTTTTATTCTGACAGTAGTCACATGCTATAATAGATTAGCACTAAAGAATATGTCTTAATGGGGTGACTTTAGTTCAAAATAACCTATTATATATTTTATGAGTTATCAGAAGACAGGCGCTCAAAGGCTCCACCCAAAGCACAATGGCAATGTTAATTATCCTGATTTGATCAGGACACATTGTATACATGTATTGAAATGTTGCACTGTATCTTCAGAAATATTCACAACTATTAAGTGTTACATATTTATGGAAATGAAAATCCTAAGAAAAAACCCACCCTCCAACATGCACATCTCATACTCACAATACAATACTTTGCACATGAGCAATGCACTGAGGAAGATCTTTCAGCGTCTCAGCTTATTCACGGCTGAAACAACAGTAGGCAACACTGGGCTCTCCTCACAGAGTAAGTGTGAAGCCTTTGTATGAATGTAACCAGCGTCCAGTACATGGTACACACTCAATCACCAAATCACCATACAAATGATAAACTAACTGCAAATTTGGATAGGTGAGAATAAACATTTTCAAAGAATGCTTCAGTATAAGTTACACTTTCTCAAAAGATAAGTTATCTTTAAAAAGCTCAATTATCCTAGAAGGCATTCTTAGATGAAATTGATTATGAAATTAAGAAAAGTAAAAGGTCAAAGAAACGGCACATGTAATAAGAACAGTACAGTAATAAAAATATTTCCACAACAGACTCTTTCTCCCTTTGTCCTTCTCAGTGAACTCAACACAGCAGTCCAGGACCCTTTGTTTAAAATCTCATCTCTCAAAATGAAAGCCAGAGTTGTGACCATGGTCTATAAACCCTTTCTAATGTTCCCTATCACCTTTCTTACCTCATCTCCTACCACTCCCCATCTCTGTTCACTCCCCTCCAGTCACATGCATTTCCTTCTCATCTACAAACACTGTTCCTTCAGACACTGTATCTTTGCTATTTAACTCAATTCCTGAGATAGCCATATGCGGGGCAACTTCTTTCTAAGCTTTCATTAAGTGTGACCAGTTTACAAAATATGCAATATCCATTTTCTCTCCTCAGTGAACTTTCCCACCTCCTTTTCCTTATTGAATGGCTCTCCTTAGAACTTGCCATGTTCTATCATCATATATATTTTACTGATCTGTATTATCATATATTTTTATGACTCAACTCCATAAAATGTAGGAACATACTCATATCATTAGAATATATCCCAAAAGATCTGAAAGAATATATACTGAACCCACAAAGACTTTTGAGAAGTATATACTCCATGATACACATTTCTAAATTTCTACCAAGTTTTCTTTTTAAAACATTTAATATATCTAGACTCTACTTATGAGTTATCACTGTGCTATTTAAGGATCAATCAGGCATACAGATTAAAAAAACATAAAAAAATAGAATTATATTCTGGTGCTATACACATTTCCAAATATATTATTATGCAAGGAAGTTGGAAAAAACAGAATAAGCACACAAGATGAGGAGATTCAATCAATGTATGATGGGAAATAAGCAGGCTTAAGAAAAATGAAAGAAAACTAAGAGAAGAAAAGCATCATTTCTGAAAGGGGTTAAGATGAATAAGCTCAATGTTTAAAAGACTAAAACATTCCTTTTGGGGGAAACACCTAAAAATTAAAATATAAAATGAATTTTACCTGTATCAAATATAAATGGCACACTGACCACTGTATTGACCATTATAAGTAACTAATGAAACCAGTCCACAGAAAAGACTATGAGGGAGTTTGAAGAATAATATTAATAAGGTTTTGGTATGGCTTCTCCTAACTAACTTTTATTGATTCTTCAGATACTGGTTCAAACTTAACCCCCTTAGCTTTCCTTGCTAAAATCTTCCACAGTACTGTGTATATTTCCTATATATCTTTACTATAGTGTATAATTATATATTACATGATTTATGAATGATCATGAACCTCTCCATTTGACTGTAAGCTCCACTATCATAATCTTTGGCCTTAAATAGCACTTATTCAAGTATTATGTCCTAGAAAGTAATATTAATAAGGTTTTGGCAGGACTCTCTTAAGTGTCTCACTGCATATCAGGAGTACAGAAAATATAACAGTCTCATTTTGATTGCCTTCTCTTGAGTCTCAGAATGGCTGCAGTAGAGTGGCATAAAATAATCCCAAACACTCAAAGATATGGCCACAAACTTGGAATGAACTATCACCCAAAAAAGTGCTGGATTTTTCACGACAGCCTTACCATTGCATGAATTTAAAAGGAAGTTCAAAGAGCCTAGATATTATAGCAACAAAACAAAATAAACCTATCTGGTACATTCAGAGACTAAATTAATTGCCTATAAGTGAAACTTAACACATGACAGATATCCAATATAATATTGTTGATCATATTAATTATTTAATACATTAAAGTACCTAATACCACATAGTAATCATCATCTCTACTTTTGCATTACTGGCTCAAATACGAAACCCTTACATAATAACTCAGTATTTCCTGCATGAATGAATAAACCAATAATCCACTACACAGATAATTTTCACCCAAAGTTTTATTTTAAAATCTATAGTATATTGTTATTGTTAGTTTACCACCATATGTTAATCTTTACTTCATGAATTAATAAATAAACCTTAATTCTGTAAATATTATTTCTTTGTTCACAAATTCTACTAATGTCTCAGCTAGTAGGCTTCAAGTTCACTGAGAATAAAGGTTGTCTTATTTTTATTTCATTTTGTTATGTTTCATAACACTGTACTTTGCAAAAATGAGTATTTAAGAAAGGAGTTTTGGCTAAATAAGGGAAATATGAATCAGTACTTTTCTGTTAATAGCATAAAAATTTTTTTGGAGTACTTGTGTTTTAATGCAGACCTTTTATCACATGCATAAACAAGGATTTGGCTATATATTTAGTTATCAAATGGAACAAAACTATATTGACCTCTCTAAAACTCTATCAACATTTACAATAAAATTAATAAACAGCTTTAGGTACAAACTAGCAGTTTTACATTTACCACTGTTATCAAGATCCAAACTATTGAGTAGGTCAATAAATAATACTAGAAATACACTGAGATCCATGAAGTCTCACTTATTACACCTGGTTTTACAAATTTAATACACTTAGAGAAAATAAAAATTATAGTTCTTATTTGAGTCAGCTAAAACAACAAATACTCTCCTGTTGAGAATTAAAAATGTAGAAACTGAAAGTATCAGTGTCCATCTTCACAAACTATAATGTTCACAGGATGCAAATCCTTTTCCACTGTGTTAAAGAGCAGCTGAGATGCTTGTTTACAGCCCTGTCTCTTCTGTTAAGGAGCAATGCTTTTTTTTTTTCCTCTTCATTCTATTTGTTGAATTCTTAACCTTATTTAGTGTAAGGTTAACTATATCATCATTAAGTAAACTGAAAGCAGATCTTTGTAAAAATTAAGCATGGGAATGTGAGAGGGAGGAGGAGGCAGGAACCTGGGCAGGAGGGAGTGGGGTGGGGGGAGTGTCACTATGTTCCTAAATCTGTATATATGAAACACATGAAACTTGTATAACTTAAATGAAATTAAAAAAAATTAAAGTAGCTGCGGAATCCAGACAAGAAAAGGTTCCAAAACCATTGCCAGAGACTCCAGTTACAGCAGCAATGTTACTAAAAACATTATTTGTGACTCAGAGAATATCTTAAAGTTAAATACATGAATTCTAAACAGCTTCATCACTATTTAAATTTCACAGATAAATTTCACACAGGCACCAAAAAGAAACTTTTAAAATTAACAATACCAGTTACACTGATAAAATTAAGTACCTTCATGTTTTTTCTCAAAAAAAGTCATTAGGCAATGGGGAAAATACCTAATATATAGTGTTCTGCATAGCACTTCACATCTTGCAAAGTAGATACTCACTAATATGATTCTCACAAAAACTAGAGGTCACAACCCTCATTACTTCCTAAGTACGGGGCATGTAAATACACAGCTGGGAAGCTGTGCGCTTTTCATTGATCTATTTGTTTAATTTTTCTGTTCTCTAAGATCCCGTGTAACGTTCATCTTCCTCTCTCAGGACACTTGCCATCTCATTTATGTACAGCTCTTAGAATCTACTACTTTGCTAGAACAAAACAGGTGCTCATTAAATATCTGTAAATTAATTCTCCTATTTATTGGCCCTTCTGGGCAACAGGCATATGAGGAAGGAAATAAGATAATTTTAGATCATGGAAGATTCACCTGCACGAAATGAAAGGTAATTTAAAATGCTCAAACTGCCAATATCACCTTACACTTCTGTTTCCAGCTGCCTGCAGAGCTCAATATTACACAGTAAAAGCTCACTAGAATAGAATTTGGCAGTAAAAAAAAAAAAAAAAAACAACCCTGTGGTACTGGCTAAAATACAAGTGCTCTCATCTTTAAGTACAGATATTCGTAAAATTTCAATGACAGAAAGAAGCCAAATAAAATTTTCAAATGTGATTGTGTAACAATATCATATATCCAAATGGAATATTAAAAATGAGAGTAAATTTGCAAGTTAACCCTTCCCTTTTGGTTTCTAACATATTACTTTAAATTCTGATCATTGCATTTTAAAATAAATATGGTGGTAAGAGGAATAGTTCAGTCATTTAATCTTTGACATTTTCAGAAATAGTGACTTCTAATTATTTTTATCTATCTACTTATTTTATTTTCATTTTACTTGAAAGGCAAAGAGACACGGAGAGAGAAAGGGAGCTCATCCAAAACTGCTTCACTCCCCAAACACCCACAGCATCCGAGGCTGGGCCAGGCTGAAGCCAGGAGCCTGGAACCCATTGCGGGTCTCCCAGCTGGGTGGCAGGGACCCAGGTATTTGACCCTCCCAGGATTTGCACTCATGGAAAGTCAGATGGAAAGCAGTCAGGACTCAAAACAGGTGCTCCAGCCAACATGGGAGGTGATGTGTGATGCCCCCAGCAGCATCTCAACCACTGAGCCTAGCATCACCCAAACAGCAACGGTTCCAGCTTGGAAACAGAAGAAAACATTCACACAAATTGGAGTTAATTATTTTACGCTTCATCCATGGCCCTTCTTCTGTATTGCCAACATGGTCACAAACTATAAAAGGGTAGGTTATCTATAGTCACAACTTAAAGGCACAAACAAATCAGAAGAGTTTCTCAAGGGAGCAAAGACTGACAGTTTCTAAAAGAGTAGCCTGAATTATGAAAGTGGGTAAATAGGGTTAACAAGCTAAGAACTAAATATTATACAGAGTTAACAAATGGTGTGAGTGTGAAAAATCATAACACATGCATACTTCAATGTGCTCACTCCTTTTAACCCACCTGAAAAGCATCTATTTTCATTTACCTATACTTGCTAGATGTGAATGCACTAAAGGCCACTGAATCACATACTTTAAAATGGTTAATTTTATGGTATGTGAATTTCAACTCAAAAAATATACAGGTGAATACGTGTGTGTGTGTGTGTATGTTTCTAAGTTTTTTACCCCCAGAAACCTTTTATTTAAGGAACACAAACTTTATACATTTTATAATTACAACTTTAGGAATATAGTGATTCTTCCCACCATACGTCCCCCCAAATCTATGGTTCACATAATGATCATGGTTCAATCTCTCTTTGGGCAATTAGTATAACTCTAGTCTCTGGATACAGATTGAAATCCTGTGAACAGCCGGCGCCGCGGCTCACTAGGCTAATCCTCCACCTAGCGGCGCCGGCACACCGGGTTCTAGTCCCGGTCGGGGCGCCGGATTCTGTCCCGGTTGCCCCTCTTCCAGGCCAGCCCTCTGCTGTGGCCAGGGAGTGCAGTGGAGGATGGCCCAGGTGCTTGGGCCCTGCACCCCATGGGAGACCAGGAAAAGCACCTGGCTCCTGGCTCCTGCCATTGGATCAGCGCGGTGCGCCGGCCGCAGCGCGCCGGCCGCGGCGGCCATTGGAGGGTGAACCAACGGCAAAGGAAGACCTTTCTCTCTGTCTCTCTCTCTCTCACTGTCCACTCTGCCTGTCAAAAAAAAAAAAAAAAAAAAAAAAAAAAAAAAAAAAAAAGAAATCCTGTGAACAGAAATCTTGAAAATGACACTTGAATTGATGAAGCAAAAAATGAAAAATAGAAGCAGCAAGTCTTCCATGTACTAAAAAATTGCTATTACAAATTTCTCTGTGGATAGAAATGAAAATTCTGAAATTATTCTACATCTACTTAATGCTCAATCAAGAAAATATAACAAACATAGAAAGCAGTTTGGGGGGTCGGCGCTGTGGCACAGTAGGTTAATCCTCTGCCTGCGGCACCATGGGAATATAGGTGCCGGTTCTAGTCCCAACTACTCCTCTTCCCATCCAGCTCTCTGCTATGGCCTGGGAAAGCAGTAGAAGATGGCCCAAGTGCTTGGGCCCCTGCACCTGTGTTGGAGACTCGGAAGAAGCTCCTGGCTCCTGGCTTTGGATCGGCGCAGCTCCAGCCATTGCGGACATCTGGGGAGTGAACCAGGGGACGGAAGACCTTTCTCTCTGTCTGTCCCTCTCATTGTAACTCTGCCTCTCAAATAAATAAATAAAATTTTAAAATCTTTAATAAAAAATAGTTTGGTACTACTTATATTTCAATATCTAAATCAGTATTAGAATAAGCAATGTGAATGAATTATGATATTTTTACCAACTTCTATATATTATTAAAGCTAATAAGCAAGAATTTTTATGTAAAAAAGCATTAATCTTTAGAATCATAAAGCCAATTCAACTACCATTGTTCCACTAATTTAGTAATTTCATTATCACTCTTCAGCAAAATATTTCTTAAAAAATCTCAAATGGTGATATAAGTGTTTGGCCTAGTGATTAAAATGCTGGTTCTAACAACCTCGTTCCACCTCCAAGTGGAAAAATTCAATCCCTAAATTTTTCTCCCAAATCCAACCCTTCTGATGTGGACCCTGGGAGGCAGTAGTGATAGCACAAGTAATAGGGTTCCTGCCATTCACATGGGAGAACTGGGATGAGTTCCTAACTCTTGGCTTCAACCTCAGCCATTGGGAGCATTTGGGGGAGTGAACTGAGGTTTCTACCTATCTGTCTCTCACACAGTCTGCTTCAATATGCCTCTCAAATAAATTTTAAAAACTTTAAAGACTCTTATGGCACCATTCTGACAGCAATTTCAAGGGCCACTTTCAAATTATCTTAAGTTTTTTAGGAAAAAAAGAAAGTTTATGATCCTCACACTGTTTTTATTAACCTAAATGCCTTTAATGTTTAAATTTAACATTGTTTTTATTTTATGCACTTAAATTCATTTAAACCATTTTTAATTTAAAATAGTTTTAAATATAGTTTTCCTTAGCAAGATCTAACATGTTAGTGAATTTTGTAGTACTACATTTAATGGATTCAGAAAAAAGTTAAGTGCTAAAGTTTACATGTAAAAAGTACTTATCATAAACTATCAACCATTATATTACAATTATATCACAATGAATTATATTAAAATATACACATAAACTGAATAAACACATAAACTGAACTGGAAACGTACATCAACAAATTGTATGATAAAGTGTCTCCTCTGTCCATCAGAATATACAGAAAGGACATATTCACCGGGTTTCCCATGACTCTCTCGCACCAGGAAGTCTCCTTGTTGTTTCAACAGTTCTTGGGCTTCTATTCTAGGAATTGCACCATGGTACCAGTCTTGTTCTGCCAGGGGCTTCTCACTTAAGGAGATCACATCAGAGAACTTGAACAAATATCAGAAAAAAAAAAATAAGTTAGAGAAAATAGGGATTTAATCTCCCGACAAAATTCCTAGCAACTTAAACGCTTCTGACATGCATTCTTCCCTCCCATTAAAAGTTACAAGATGAGTCTCAAATTTGCATAATTTGAAGGGAAATAGCTTCTGGAGCACTGGTGCTAAAGTATGGCACAAATACCCGCCCTCTAATACTTTGTTTCTCTATCATACTTTGGCACACACAGTGTTAGCATAGAGAGTTAGCATGACAATCTTATTCACCATTTCAAAAGTCTACATATCAAATTAATCAACCAGAGAAATTATAAAGAAACAAGGGGTATTATCAGAGACGTGCATCACAGAAGAACTTTATTTTTATTACAAGTTGAGTGTCTAATGGGTAGAAATCACTCTTGTTCATTTAGGATGTGGACTGTGTCACCCATCCCGGAAATACTCATCAGGTGTTACTTGATACAACTCACAGCTGTGACTTCCATCTTTATCCCCCTTCACCTGTGACCTCTACCGTGTGGCTGGCCTAGCTTCTCACGGCAGTGGCAGATAAAGCCCTGGGAGAAACAGCATCACTGAAGACCACCAACAGGCCATTACAATCATATGGCAAAACCCAGGGAGTTAGAAACCAGGAGCACAGCAGGAAAAGCACATTTTCTGTTAGTAGGCCAAATGCTCATGTTCAATAGCAGGTATAATTAAGAGCTAACTATGTTTCCTTGAAATGGTCCTGGTTGATGGTAGTTATGAACATTCATTTTGGTCACAAGTAAAAAGTCTTGTTCTTGTCGTTGCTGTTTTAACTGCAATAGTAACAAAACTGTCCCTGCTGGTGTAAGAGTACATTACAGAAATGGTACAATAATTTTCACTAACTCTGAAGGTTCTTAAAATATAATATGCACAATGCTTCATTAGAAATGAATTTATAACCTGAGGAAAATCAGAATAATAAGTTAAAGGCGAATGTTCACATATGAGATTTTGTAGGCTAATATTTTTAATTTTATATACAAAGTATGGTGTCTTCATAGTAAATGAAAATGAGTTTTGAATATAGCCTTCATTGTTTTGCAGCATTAAAGATGCTTACTAGTCAAAAACTGACTAGTCAAAGTTCCATTTCATATTATCTAAACCTGTTGGTTGTTAAAAAAAAAAATTAAAACCTTGAAAAGCCTCAAATAGACCTCAAGGAAGAGTCCACATTTGGGCTTTAAATTCTACATGTGAACATTTTTCTTTTTTTTTTTTTTAAGATCTATTCATTTATTTGAAAAGCAGAGTTAGAGAGAGAGAGGAAAAAAAAGAGAGAGAGACATCTTCCATCTTCTGGTTCACTCCCCAAATGGCCAGGACAGCCAGGACAACAGATTGATTCTACTGGGCCAGGCAGAAGCCAGGAGCCAGAGCTTCTTCAAGTTTCTCATGTGGGTAGCAGGGGACCATGCACTCGGATCTTCTTTCACTGCTTTCCCAGGTGCATTAGCAGGGCCAGAATCAGAAGTGGAGCAGCCAGGACTTCGACTGGTGCCCATAAGGTTGCCAGCACCATAGGCAGCAGGTTAACTTGCTGCACCACAGAGCCAACCCCCAACATTTTTAAAGTTTTAAAATACATGCCTGGTGTAACTATACATGGTGTTACTTTAAACCAAATAAGCCTTTTTCTTTTAGCATAAGTGATAAATACAGTATTTCAACAAAGAATATTAATGTGCTCCCAAAAGACATGTTTAAAGAATGAATTATATAAGAAACTAGCCACAATTATGAGTTAAAGGAACATTGCTCTTAAAAACAAATGCATAATCCATACAAAATTAACTTTTTGTGTATACTGATACTAATAAGTAGATTTCTCAAAGAAGACAGTCAAAATAATCATATATTTCTTCTCCAGAATTTCTCAAAGTGCATCTCATTATAGCAAACACAATTTTATTATAATAGCAATATTTCCAAGTTTCACCTATGGCAAAAGTGCTTTATTAAAAAATAAATACCATGAAGAACAGAAAATGCATTATCTTTGAAAAGGACTTGTTTTTACCACTCTCTCAAAATGTTCACTTAATAGGAAAGCATTGCAACAAGGATGGCATGTGCCTCATCTTATCCTGGGCAACCTATCCTCCCAAATTTGCATTTATTTAGAACCTAGAGAATGAAGAGACTGTAGAACTCACTAAGTACAAAATGTGTTTGGAGTATAAAAGCTCAGCTAAAACTCTGAGAAATTCACTTAAAGATCTGACACTGAGGAATATTGAGGAGCAAAGCATCCTAAGAAAATAAGATCTGTTTTTGAAGAAGTAAGAGCATTGATTACTGTTTACATCCCTTGTGTCTACTGCTCAGGAACAGTGATCTTTCTTCCTACTATGTGTTGAATTCTTTACTTAGTGGAGGGTTAAGTTTATGATGATAAAATAAACTGAAAGTATGTCATTGTAAAAATTAAAAAGAATAAGAACGGGAGGAGAGGGAGGATGGCAATGTGGGTGGAAGGACAGGAAGTAGCACTATGCTCCTAAAACTGTACGTATGAAATACATGAAACTTGTTCACCTTAAATAAATTTAAAAAAAAAAAAAGAAAGAAAAAAATTTTATTAAAAAAGTAAGTAGGAAGGAACTTATGCTGCTATGTCACAGAGTCCACACTGCAGTTCTACGGGCTCCATTTCATGCTTCTTAGTTTCTGTGGAGTGGGAAGGGAAGCTCAAGATTCATTATTCCCCATTGCCTAGGCAATAACGGTATGAAATGAAAGCCGAATTTCTTGTGAGTATGGGGAAAAGTCACCCACTTTCCCTGCCTGGGTCTTTCAGATCTGTCACACACTTTTCTGGAAGCAATGGAAGGGGTGTACTTTCTACTAATATGGTTCCATTCAAATGACAACACGATTTTGCAAGCTTGATGGTAACAGAATGTAGAATGCACCAGCAAGAACATCCAGCATCACTAAAGCCTGTCGTGACGACATCACAAACGAGAGGCTTCTCACATCAATGCTCCTGTCTTTCTTGGAGGGGAAAGATGTTTGCCAAAAACATGTTCAAAGTTACAGTCAACCTAATACAGCTAATAAATTAACTTAATACGACAAGTTTTCTTGACAGGTTGGGCTAATTAGTTATCTAATTAGTTTCACAAGGTCTTTTTCATAAAAAAAGCAAAAATAATTGGGCAACATGAAATAATACAGAAATTAATATAAATCAAGATGCAAAAGTAAATTAGAAAATGATTTTTTTTTCTTGAGGGAAGTAAATGAGGCCTTCTTTCCCATTTATTCTACTTCAGATTGATTCTAAAGTATATAATAAAGATTCGTATGCCTTTATTTCAAACATCTGAGTAGCAAGATGAGCTTTTTCCTTTTTTAAATTTTCAGGTTTTTGTTAGTTTTCAATTTTTTAGTTTTTAACAGATTCAATGTGCTTTGTAGACATACTTCTAAGAACATAATGATATTCCCTCTCCCTCCCTCCTCCTTTTTTCCTCCCACTCTCTTTCCTTCTCCCTTTCTTTTTTTTTCATAACATATTTTAAATCTGCATTACTAAAAAGGCTTAATGCTTCACCAAATAAGAAGTTGAACCAGTAAAAAGCAAAAAGACCCTAGTTTAGAGGGAATATAGGCAACAGCTATGAACAACAATTGAATGGAAAAATGACCATGTCCTCCATATACAGTACATTTTAAAGCAATCACAAATCATTAAAACAATAGTAGCAAAACATTATTAACCATTGGTTTGACAAAGGTATAAAACAAAGTTTTACAAAACCATATTTGCAGTAATACTGATACAGACAGATATTTCTTTTTTCTTTCTTCCTTTTTTTGTTTTTTTTTTTTTTGTTGTTGTTGTTGTTTTGTATTTTGCTTTTTAAAATTTTAGCTCCCACATAGAAAGGAGAACATTCAGTATTTGTCTGAGTCCAGCTTATTTCGCTCAACATGATAGCCTCCAGTTGCATCCATTTTGCTGCATATTGTAAATTTCATTCCTTTTTATAGCTGAATAGTATTCACTGCGTGTATGCACCATATTTTCTTTATCCACTCATCTGATGATGGACACCTTGGTTGATTCCAAATCTTGACTACTGTGAACAATGCTGCTATGAATGTGGTTGTGCAGGTATCTCTCTGACATATTATGTTCAAGTGTTTTGGGTAAATACCCAGTAACAGGATTGCTGGATCATATGGTGAGTCCATTTCTAGTATTTTAGGAAATCCCCACACTGCCCTCCACAGTGGCTGCAATAATTTACATTGCCACCAACAGTGTATGAGTGCTCCTCGCCAGCATTTGTGACTTTCTGTGTTTTGGATTTTAGCAGTTCCGACAGGGGTGAGAGGACATTGATGCGCTTCTTTTTAACAAACAGAAACAAATGCTAAAAAAATTCTGGATTCTGTTAAGATTAAGCACTCAAAACATTAAAAAATTGGAATAAAACCGTAGGTAAAATATAAAAGTAAACCTCTTACTGATCTTCACATACTAAGTACAAACTAAATACTTAACAGATTATTCAATACAGCTTTTTTATGACTTTTAATGACCATAAAAATGACATCTAATTGTCTTTTCCATCCATATATGAATTTAGTTAATCTAATAGTCTAAGAATAAATTATTCCTAATCCAGCCGGTGCCGTGGCTCACTAGGCTAATCCTCAGCCTTGTGGCGCTGGCACACCGGGTTCTAGTCTCGGTGAGGGCGCCGGATTCTGTCCCGGTTGCTCCTCTTCCAGTCCAGCTCTCTGCTGTGGCCAGGGAGTGCAGTGGAGGATGGCCCAAGTGCTTGGGTCCTGCACCCTCATGGGAGACCAGGAGAAGCACCTGGCTCCTGGCTTCGGGTCAGCGCAATGGGCCAGCCGCAGCGTGCCAGCCGCAGCGCACCAGCCGCGGCGGCCATTGGAGGGTGAACCAACGGCAGACTTTTCTGTCTGTCTCT